TATTTCAGTTTACAAACACGGAAGCCTATGTCTATGTGTAATCTTGGTTCTCAGGCTGATTTCTTCAATACTTATGAGTATAATACTTTCCATCGCTCGTTTAGCAAAATTAAGCTTGTTGAATAACCATATTGTCAGTGTCCATGTTTCTGAACCATAGGTGAGCAGCAGGCCTGGCAGAATTTACTGTTTGAAGACTTGTCTTCAGATTTTTGGTTCAGACTAGCTGAATCTCTCTATCGTCTTCCTTGTCGAAGTTATTCTTACCTACAACAAGCTTGAGAAGTAATTTTTTTTTTTTTTTTTTTTTTATAGGAGAGGGGGCAAACGAGCATGCGGCTCACCTGATGGTAAGTGACTACCGCCGCCCATGAACAACCGCAACACCAGGGAAATTGCAGATGCGTTGCCGGCCTTTTAAAAAGGAGTAGGCTCTTTTCTTGAAGGTCCCTAAGTCATATCGGTCCGGAAAAATCGCTGATGGTAATCGATTCCACAAGGAAGTCGTGCGAGGAAGAAAACATCTTCTAAATCGCACAGTGGTGGACCGCCAATCATCCAGATGGTGTGGATGGTATCGGGAGTTCTGCCGCGATGTGCGTTCATGAAATTTGGCGGCTGGGATTAATCCGAACAATTCCTCAGAGCACTCCCCATGGTAGATGCGAAAGAAAATGCAAAGAGATGCAACATCTCTTCGCAGTGCCAATGAATCGAGCCGATCGGAAAGGGCTCGGTCGTCGACGATTCGAGCCGCTCTGCGCTGGATGCGGTCAAGTGGAAGGAGCTAGCACTGGGGAGCCCCTGCCCAGAGATGGGAACAGTATTCCATGTGAGGCCGAACCTGCGCCTTGTAAAGTTGCAGGCGGTGTGCCGGCATGAAATACTGTCCCGCTCTGCTGAGCACGCCAAGCTTTTTAGAGGCCAATTTGGCCTTCTCTTCCAAGTGACCACGAAACTGCACGTCACTCGATATGTCGACTCCGAGGATACCGATACTGGCTGAGGCAAGAAGGGGAGTGCCTTGAAACTGAGGAGATACGACAAAGGGGTTCTTTTTAGCGGTAAACGCGCAAACTTGTGTCTTCTGAGGATTAAACTGAACTAGATTTAGTCGCCCCCAATCCGAGACTTTGTCCAGCAAAGACTCGACTTCAGACACACTTCAATTGAAACTGACATGACATAATCGCAATACGTCGGGAGAATTCACTTAGACTATTCAGCGATTCCTGAAATTCTTTCTGCCATGACGACGATATCATAAGCAAAGCAGCATTAGTGTAAGATGTACTCAACGTTCTCGTTAATGCTATACAGTCTAGTGTCTCAAGACTGTCTTCCAGTGCATTTATGAACAGTTTAGGTCTAGGAGATACAACATTCCCCTGTCGAGTTTTAGTTGGATTTGGTTTTTGAACAGCTTTTCGTATATTATATAGCTGGAGCACGAATGGATCGTCTCGACCGGGGTAGAGCCACGCTTACACAGAAACAGCAGAGTAATGCCGCTGTATTTTGTATGATGAATGTAGAGAACTGGAGGTCCCTTTTACTGGAAACGAGCCATTCAATTTTAGTCCTCAGGGGTGACAACGTATCTGCATTTTAATTCTTAATCGGTTATAGATGTAGATGTCTATGGGCCTCAGCATCCACGTACCATCAGGTGAACTGTGTGCTCGTTTGTCACCCTTATTCTATAAAAAAAAGTTCATTTTAAGACTGTATTTTAAACTTGTAATGGATGGGCTATCTCCTGCACGCGCAGGCAGGGAAATTATCGCGCGTGGTCTATAATCATTAAGCAGGATATCATATCGAAAACGATATAGGTGTTATCGATATCATATCGAAAAAGATACCACTATTTAGGGACTCTATACATATATCCTAAGACGTCGATGCAGTGTAAATCAGCCGGGAGGTCATTACAGCAGAAGTCAGCTTTATTACCCAACGTGTACAAGGTTTCAGTGCATTTAAATTCAAATGATAGATTGTAATTGCTTCACAAAATTTGCATTAGACAAGTGCATGTTAACAACATAGCGTTGCAAAATTACCACATTAAGTTTTTTTACAACAGTGAACAACTTCAGTTTTATTCTGAACAATATACATTGTGTAGAATACATCAAGAATTAAAATTAATCAATACATAAGCAAACAAAATAGTAAATTAAACTTTAGTAATGTCTTACAGTACAAATCAAGCAATATCTAGTAATGAAATTATCAATGTCAAAACCGTCATAATAGATTAGAGATTATGTTACTATAATATTAAGATGATGGAATAATATCATTAACAAAGTCTTCAACAATATGAAAGTAGAATTCGAACAAAAACAATTTCATTTTTCTTTTGTAATCACTCATATACTAGCTGTACCCCGCGGTTTCACCCGCGTATATCACGCATCTGCACTTCGCGACATGCGAACTTCGAAAGAGACATCACTACGGACGGTTGCTGAATTAAAAAAAAGATTTAAAAAGTTTAAAATGTTGCTTAAATTACATTGTTAACGTAATTGGTGGTTATGCATGGTGCAGGTACTGATATAGCCTTGAATACGAACTGATTTATTTGAATATAAGGACTAATACCTAGGTACGAATAATGTGGCCTAGTTTGTACCGGCATTACGATTGCATACTTTAACATGGAAAAGTAGTTATTGTGACATAACTATAATAATTAGACACATGGTATCGCGGATTTTGTTGTAGATATTGATGCCCTGTATAAAATTATAGCACATCACTTTGCTCTATTATCAATAGTTTCCGCAGCGTACGCGATATAAGGATTCTTTTTGGTATTTTTTTCACACCTTGGGTTACATTAACGAAGTTTTCATGCGAATCCATAACATTTTTGAAAATATTCTATCGCCTATGTTCATCAGGGATAATGTAGGATTCTAATGGTGAAAGAATTTTTCAAATCGGTCCAGTAGTTTCGGAGCCTATTCAATTCAAACAAACAAACAAATAAACAAACAAATCTTTCCTCTTTATATTATTAGTGTAGATAAAGTATTAGGTCGATTGGTAATTAAATAAATGAATTACTGACTGATATTGTGAGCAGTGCTTGGATATAACTAGATGAGGAATAACTTTATTCTTAAAGTCTTGTCTTCTTGTATTTTCCCCATTCTCTGAGATTCCGCAAAATAACAGTGTTGTACGAATAAACAATTAAACTTTTAACTGAAAGTAAAAACCGCCTACAAAAAAGCCTAATACTGTTTTAAAAAAACCGACTCTGGAAAAATTTACTAATAAAACTTTTATGAACTTTATTATAAGTTTAGAAAATTTAAATGAGAATGGTTGCTAATCAACTTCAAAACGTTATAGATCCTGTATATTGTCATTCAAAATGAGAAATGATTACAGAAACATAAAGATGATTTTCGAACACCTATTTAGTGATACTTACCCTATTTGACATAGTTTGTCGCCTTTCAATTTTTTTCTTTTTTACAAAATGGCTTCTCGTTGTCGCCATATTACGCACAGTGACACTTACAAGATCAAGACACATCTATTGATGTAAGAATCATCAAAATCGGCCCACGCGTTGGGTCTCTAGAGCTAGAGCGCCACAAAGAACAAACATGTATACATACATACATACATACATACAATACCGACTGCGTTGCGCAGTCGTTTAAAAAGAATATTATAATATTTTCCACATGTTGGCTTCTGAAGTCGGTGCTATAGTATATCAAAGAATTAAAGCTTCGACTTCAGAAGTTATGTCTACGGCTCTTGCGCTGTGATAAGAATGCCATAAGCAAGGTTTTCAAATAATATAGATTTATTTATAAATAGGTGTAAAAAAAAAATATAAATTTATATATGATTCCATACGACAAATTCTATAAATTATATTTTACCAACAATCTACTGACGTTTTTTAGATATTATAATATATTAATGGTAGGGTGCGGGCATCGAACTTAAAGTTCGTGGGTCGAAATCCGCCATTGTTGTACACCATTTTTAACTCAAACATTTTAAGCATACCTGAAGTGGTTAATTGAAATAACTGTAATGTGTTTAAAAATATATTTAACATAAAATAAACGCTTGTCATCCAGAGAGGTAGGCGAGACGTAAATCCCTAACTAGTCCAGGGAGGAATCGGCGCATGCGTACCGAAAACTATCCCACCTCAATTATTTTATGTGATTCTGTTCAAATAGTCCTACTGTTTGATGATATAAATGCATGTTGCCATGGGGCAACTCGGTGCCACATTGTTTAAATTAATTTTTTTTTTCAATATCAGGGAATGGTTATTTTCAAACGGGATTTTTTTTTATTTTTTGATGAATTACGAATGAAACTGGTCGTCTTATAACTTTTTACTATAAGGTTAATATTTTTCGGAGTTATGACATTTGAAAGTTATGAAAAATTTCAATTTCAGATACTTTTGAATCATTAAAAATATATAAAGAAAATGAATAAAATATAAAAGATATTTTTTTATATTCTTTAGACAATATTTAATAATATTCTTAAGCGAGAATACAAAAAAAATATACATTTCTTTATTATTTATTATTAAAAATTCATAACTGCGAAAATATTAACCTTTTTTATTCGCATTTCATCAAAGAATATTAAAAAAAAAATACTGTTTGAAAATAACCATTCATTGCAATTGAAGAAAAAAAATCGGTTTAAACAAGATGGCACCGAGTTATCCCGTGGCAACATGCATTTATATCCTCAGTGGGACAATTTGAACAGAATCGCATAAAACGATTAAGGTGGAATAGTTTTCGATACTCATGCGCTGATTCCTCCTGGACTAAACTTACATTTGGCACGATCTTGACACACCTCTTTAGCCACTTAGACGTTCATATACGCATAATATATGCTCGTCGGTTAAGGGTACGCTTAATTTGGCCCATCTTCATTATATCGTCAATTTCAAACATCAATTAATACATAATTGTTTATTTCAGACAATGCCTCCACCCAGAAGCGTGCAGCAAGGATATCAACCTGCCAACGTACTATTCCCGCTTCCACGACCTACGAAAAGAGTATGTGAGGGCATACACGCTGAGGGCGGTTGCGTCTCCCCGAGCGCAGGCACCTCCGCCTCCGCCACCAGATCACCCCACCTCTCTACTTGATATGCTCAACTGTATCCTTTTTGAGTTACGTTAATTATTTTTTTTATAAAAGTAAGAGTTAGTGGTTGCTGTGGTCCAGCTATCGTCGATTAAGATACGTTGTCACCTCTTGAGGACAAAAGCCCGGTTTACATTTTGAGAAGTGACAAGTGCGAGTGGCAAGTGCAACTGACAAATGACAAGTGCTTAGTGTGTATTCTATTCACACTTATCACTTGTCACTACCAGTTCACACGCACTAACCACTTGTCAATTGCAAGTTGCACTTGCCACTCGCAATTGTCCCTTCCCTTAAACCGTGCCTAAGGTGGAATGCCTAGTTAACAGTAAAAAGGGTTTTATTCTTTCATTATTAAGTAGGTACGTACGTGGCTTGACTCGCACAACTTTGGGAACCCCTGGTGTATTATAATTTGTTACTTTTCTGTTGAGATCATGTAATTAATAATAAACTACTAATAACTCATGCGGTTGCTTTGTTAAATGTTAAGTACGCCTTTGCACACATTATTTTTCCAGTTCAAACTCGAGTGAGACGTAACTGAAGCAATAAGTTTGATAGGAAATACGTCTAAAATAGCTGCAGACTGCATAATATTTCTTCAAATAAAAATCAATTGTTCTCCGTTAGTGTCGCTCACAGAACACAATTACTATCTACCGAGAGAAGAACGCCGACTTCATATTAAAAAGAGGAAACACGTGTTTATGAGTGTACACTAAGAGCGCTACGGTGGGCGCCCATATAAAACTTTTATAGCGGGAATCTCAAAACTTGTATTCTGTAACTTTTAAAGTTTGTTTATTTAAGACTGAGTAATTTGGGCTCGAGCCTCACAAACCTTTTGGGTGAATTCCCATACATTTGAGAGGTTACACCAAAATTACTCGAATTTACTTTAGAGGAGTATGTGGGATAAAATAAAACTAAAAATAGGTATAGTTATGTAATTTTATTTTTTGAAAATATATTATATTATTATTTATGTTTTATACTGCTTTTTCAGATAATATTTCCACGCGTAATATTGATTTATAACATATGTTATCGTGAAAGTCATTCTTCACAGAACATTAACGTAAATTTAAATCAGTAAAATTCTCATGGTTTAACACAGAATTAACATTTTCACTTTCTTCCGATATATTGTGTATTTTTGTATCTAATTTTTAAAAAGGCAATCTGAAACAACGCAAAAGAAAGAAACAGCGATAATTTTTTCACGCTTTAATTTTACACGCCCAGTCCACACATAGATAAAATTATGTTTGTGTGCAAGTTTCTCGGATTTCATACAGAGTTACATCACCCTGATCTCGCTAAAACTCAAAAACGGCTCGATTGATTTTGATGATATTATTGTGTGGGTTTGAATGGGTCCCTAGATGGTTTATATTCACTATTGCACACGGTAGGTGACGCCGTTGTCGAGATCCAGAAATGATCCGTGCGAAGCCGGGACGGATCGCTAGTTTGTAATAAAATATGAATAGTTTAATGTAAAGTATTTCCAAATATGTAAATATTATTAACCGTTTATCAGTAATATACAAAAGATAAAAATAATCCCGCAAGTCATTGGAGAAAACGTAATTGTGTCAGTGCTGAAGCAAATCGAAATGCTCAGAAATTATCTTACTAATAACTTAACGATTAGTAATAAATCATCGATTAAGTATGTGACAGATAAAACTGATATTATGGTCAGATTTATTCAGGAAATGAAATGAGGATTTTATCGATTTATAATAAAATAGTTGGTAAATGTAAAGAAAATCGACTTTGTAATTAACAGTAGGTACCTACTAAAAGACATTTGCATACATATACTAAATACAAAATAACATGAGAAATAAATAAAAAAACATGGTCCACACACAAAGTCCACAAAAAAAAACTAATCAACAAAATCAACAAATCACTGTTCGGGAGTACCTTGTCACGATCCAGGACAATGTTCGGGAGTAGAAGGGAATTTTTAAATTAGGCAACTTGATTGTGGTCTTGGACTATTGTACTAATCTCACAACAGTTCAGAGGGTAAAAATATTCAAAGGACAAAGAACCTGTTTAAAATTAACGTAATCTACTGACATAGTTACTACGAGGAGTACGTTGCTCAAAAAGTAGACGCAGGCGCTTCAACAATCACATCATAATATTATCAACGATTTAAGCTCAATGTTGGACATAATATGTGTTTTCACTAAGCAGCCATATATCGTCTAGGCGGTGGATTCGTTGGATTTTTCGGCATCAACCAGTCTACAGAACCCCTTCACCTATGGCATAGTGCACCGGTAAGGTAATTAGGTTTACACTGAAGTGACAAACCAACAAACAATCCACTTGATGGTAAATGCACTGTTGTTACTGCAGCCCATGCACATCTGCAACCAGCTTCAAATAAAGAAGCCTACATATACGTTGTCAGCTCTGAAGACCAAATGAAATTCCTCAGAGCCTGTAGTAGATTCTAAATCGAGGATATGTAGATGTCTATAGGCCACACCATACACTTACCATTACGTGAACTGTGTGATCGTTTCTCACTATTCTATAAAATTATTCAATACAAAAATTACTCGGAGCTTTTGAGCTCCGGGTATTTTTTTTTATTTGGGAAAAATATCGTAAAAGTGAAGCACCCGCGATTACCATGTACTACTGTGTCCATTCAAAAACGTTAAGCTTAAGTCCTGCAATGCAATCTTTTAATGACCTCGTAAGACATAGTTGTTTTATAAAAGGAACATCAGACCGTGAAGGTCCAGTTCTGGATATGGACTTTCCCCTTTTAGGACGTATTTTCCATAATCGTCACGATTAACAGGCGGATTGCAGTGCGAGACGCCTCACACATCTGGCGTAAACGAGTTGGTTATACCGCCAGTTATCGGAAGCCATTAGGTTTATCATTGGATTTCCTTACGACACTTACATAATTAAAAATTAAAAATTTTGTACAACCGACTTCAATATAAATTATTAAGAATAACTCAAAAACTATTGACCTTGATCAAATTTAAATGAGACCTACATGAGAAGGACCTGCTTTCAAAAAAAATAAAGAATCAGAAAAAAGTTATGAGGTACCTAACACACATAAAAACCTCCTCTTTTTTGAAGTTGGTAAAAATTGGGTAATGAAATCGTGTACGCTTTTTTTTTGTACGCACCTTGTTTATTTATATATTCAATATTCATTCTAACAGTGCTAGCAATACCAGCTCCTTAGATAAATGTTCAGATTTAGGTATAGCCCCGTACAGCGGAGAAAATTTTTACGCTGCCGAAGTCCAAGACATGGCCAGCATTATACAGAGGATAATCTCGGACGGTGAGTTGTTTTTTGATTTATATTATATTCTTTTAGTTCCTTTAAATGTCTAAATGTTGAATTAAATTATAATAAATATTCAGATTTTACCGTTTTTTCGGGAAGACTTTCAGAGTTTTCTAAAAGCTGTTATACTGGATAGTAATACTGTCTATAATACAACGGTTGAGCAATGTAAAAAAAAAACTGTCACTTTGCCACGTAAAAGTCCACTGCTGACTAGGAGTGGGCTGCAACAGGTAAAATCGTATATTTGTTCTGCCTGTTCCAGTTTCACATAAATAACAGTTCCAAAAACCTGTTACAAAATAGCAGTCTGTTACTACAGTGTCGGTAGGTACTTCTCTTTCTAACTAAGGTGTGGAACCTATACGAGAGACGGAAGAGCTTGTGACTAGTAACAGGGTGTCACAGTATTTTTTTTATCTTATCCTAACAAAGGTAACTGTCATATGTATGAATAAAGAAAAATTTTGATTGTCTTTTAGTTGGAACAGGAGCTGTTCTTTCAGTTTGTTTGTAAAAGTTACAGTCTGTTATTTTAAGATACCTGTTCCGATAAATACACCTCTCCCCTTCTGCTGACTGCTGAAAATGTATCTCTATCGTTGTACGGAGTGTTTGCCTTAATCGTCCCTGTTGTGAAACGGATTAGCCATCACAGTCACGGTACCATACTTTGTGCACCTTCTACGCCCCTCTTATTGAAGCATGTATTGAAGGAAGGAATGCGATCATTCAGACATTTCCTTTAGATCAGGATTGAAGGGTTACCCTTGGAGGCGATTCCAAATGTTTTGTAAGGGTGACAAACCAGCACACAAACCACGTGATGGTAATTGGATGCTGTGGCACATAGACATCTACATATATCCTTGATTAAAAATCAAAATGCAGATGCGTTATCACCCCTGAGGACTAAGATGGAATGCCTCGTTTTCAGTAAAAACGGTCTTCGGTCTGGTATGTTTTGTATGGTGAGTGTAGAGAACACTCACCATACCAAACACAGCCGCATTAAACTGCTATTTACGCTGGTATTCTGTGAGAGCGTGGTCCATCCCCGGTCGAGCTGATCCATTCATGCTAAAACCATAATATTATAGCTATAGCGTGGCTCTACCACGTGTACCCGTTCAATTCTGATGTTCAATTTCAAATATCATGCCCGTAGAAAGTTTATTTTATAAATTATTTTGTTACAGGTTTCCGGTTGGAATTGCCCGAAACTATCGACCTAGTTTTAGAGACTGGAATTTGGTGAGTCTTACTTTTATTCAGTTATCAGTGGTTTATATCAGTATTTTTTGTGAAATTGCTAATTATAAAGTAACTTAATAAATAGGAAGAAAAGAGTAATAAATATTAACTTAGGTTAATAATAATATCTAATAATTTAAATAATATCTCGTGTAAATCTTTACTATAGTGTCTAAGGTGACAACATTAAGAAACGAAGTATATTGGCGAGTAGTCTTAGAGTAATTACACACGAGTAGTTATGACCAAATAGGTAATCAATTTGACTTAAATTTATGTAAACAGTAACGGAATCTTATATTTGTAATTGTCACCAACTTGTAGACGGCCGAATGACTTGAAATTTTACACTCGTATCAAGGACTAATGACAATATAATAATTTAAAAAGTTTATCCTACTACCCGGATCAAGATCACCAGGATAACATAAAATAATTTTATCTTAAGGGTGTTACTTTAGTTTTTTTTTTTTTACTATACTTTATTATAGTATTCTTTTATTTGACGTTAATCGCCTCAAGTAAAATATTTATATTCAGTATAGCAAAGGAGAATGCCCAATTCTGGCCATGAAACGCCCAACAATATGAATTTGTTAAAAAAATACATCTTTTTTGTGGTAATTAATCGCGGTATTTATGTATCCCAAAAAGATTGCAATATTTTTGCACAAAAAAAAAGTACCGAAAAGATAAAAATGAAATTAAGTACATCCGCATTTCATTAGTTTGTGGGTACCTAAAAGAAAATGTGTTGCCAATCACAAATCTCGTTAAAAAGTCGATTCTGTTTTTTTAATCGATTTTTTATGGTGTCATTATTATAATGGTAATATTATTTTTCGATAATTATTATGATGTTATGATAATTAAATAAGCGAATTGCTAGTTGATTTACCATGAACTATTCAGAACATAACAAAAACCCTACTGCACAATATAACTGTTATTCTTATATGTTCATAAAAATACATTTAAAATGTAATTTATATAAATAAAACAAAACATATTTTAAAACTTAAAGTGAATAAAAGATTACTCTTTTTTTTATGAAATTATAAATCGAATACAAAAATCGCTATCTATTTATCGATTTAATGTCTGTTAATTGGCAACATCGATCCTGACAGCTAGGCCCATGTCATAATTATCAAAACTTAATAGACACAAGTGGAATTCCTTTGCATTTGTGTTATTTCGTTTGTTTTCTCGCGGATTTGTTATCTAAGCAACGAATTAGCTTTCTAAATGGACTCCGATAATTCTTCTCACCCTATTGACCACGGCCTGAAAATGGATCCCGCTTCCACTTCTTACGATAACCTCTCCACGAACTTGGACTTGATGTCCACTGTTTACGATGACCCCAGCTTTCACACCGGCCAGAGTTCTTCCCAGCTCTCAGTAACTCATTCAAGAGGACATTTACGCTGTGTCAATTGTGGTTTAAATGTCACGAAAATACGAAGTCATTTGTTATTAAAAAACTGTTCTTGTGAAAATACAAAACCTTTATATCTTAAAAGTCCGGACTTTTTTAAACCAACTCCTTAACCATTTCATTATTTTAATTGCATATTATTATTTCCATATGCTTTTATATGTGGGCACCCATGGCCGAAGTGTCTATGAACGATGGGCATTCCCCAATTTCGAGTGAGTTTTAACATTTATATTGTACTCGTATTAATCGGCTTAAATTCGTTTGTTATCAAAGTGCCGTTCGAAAGCCCTGTTACTGGTTCGCAATAAATTCACGTTTTATCAGCCAATGATGCCTTTCATGTTGGATCTGAATTGTCATGTTCAAGCATTTCCTGGAAGACCTGTTTTTTTCGGTAGTATTTTTTAAGGAAATTTTGCACCTTCGTTGCAATACGTTCGTTGAATACAAACACTAATAAAAATGTTAAACTTTCCGAACAACCCGAAATCTAAACTCAATTCTATTGTATATTGTTATGTATATTGTTATATACACTATATTCTATAGTGTTAGAGCCATGTTGCAGCTACATTATGGTTGTAGCACGAATGTGTTGGCTCAACCGAGATGGGACCGCGCTCTCACAGAATACCAGCGTAAAATTGCAGCTTAATGTGTTTCATTAATTATTATTCATTACAGCCCGTCAAAGTTTATTCCAGAACATAAGTCGCCTCATACTTGCCATAGTACAAAGTAGTAGTAGTACCAAGCATAGCACTTGGCAGGTACTTTTAAACAGTGGTAGAGCCACGCGGCAGCTTTTGCTGTCGCACGGATGGGCCGGCTCGAACCGGGGTAGTACCACGACCTCACAGAATACCAGCGTGAAGTAGAGGTTTACCTCTGCGTTGCGCTTGGTGAGTGCAGGTGGCCGGAGGCCCAATTCCCCCCCCCCCCCTCCCCATCAACATGGTAGCGAAATTAAATAAAAGACTACCCCAGGAGGGTACCAGCACCCCTGGAGAATCCCTCGCTGAGCATCCACGTCCAACCTACTCCACTCCTGAGCGTGGGTGCTCAAGCTGCCCCGCGTATTCTGGGGGGGGGGGGGGGGGGGCAAAATTCCGCTCGCGACTAATACTGCTCGGGGCACGCGGAGCAATAAAACCAAGGCGACCCCTGTCACGCTATCCGTGAAGTTTTGCACAGGGGATTTCATTCCAACCTTAACGCTGTCCATTACCATCTAGAGACGGCGAAGCCGGCCTTTCTCTTTTTAACCGAGACTCAGGTGTCCTCTCCGTCTGATACTTCATATCTCTCCTACCCGGGGTACAAATTAAAACACTCCTTTGTGCCCCGGGCTGCAGTTTGCGTATACGTCAGAGAGGACATCTATTTTCGACGCCTCGGCGGTCTTGAAGGTACGGATCTGTAGAATAGAATAGAATAGAATAGAATGATTTTTATTCAATATGGATTATTACATAATACTTATTGAAAGTCATTATTTTATTTACCACTGGTTCGGAAAATACCTCTGTCCTGGGAAGAACCAGCAAGAAACCCAGCGGGACTTTTTTTTTTAAACATAATTTCGCTTAACAATAATTTTGATTATACAATTTTAAATGAATTTTCATAGAACCAGCATGGTGGCGATCACCTTATTCCCAGGGGTTATTTTCACTCATGTATTCCTTGATATTATAATAACCCTTTTTGTACAGTTTTTCTTTAATAAAACTTTTAAACTTGTTTATTGACAAACTTTGAACATGTTCTGGGATTCTGTTGTAAAAGCGTATACATTGCCCCATAAATGAATTACTAATTCTGTGGAGTCTTGTAAGTGGCATTACAAGCTTATGTTTGTTCCTAGTGTTTAAGGTATGAACATCCTTATTCTTATTAAAGCTATTTATGTTTTTATGTATATACATTACATTTTCATAAATATATTGCGATGCCAAAGTTAATATGTTTATTTCTTTAAATTTTTCTCTAAGGGACTCTTTACAATTTAGATTATAAATCGCCCGTACGGCTCTCTTTTGCAAAACAAATATAGCTTCAATATCAGTCGCATTACCCCATAGCAAAATTCCATAAGACATTACGCTATGAAAGTAACTAAAATACACTAACCTAGCTGTCTCAACATCTGTGAGACTTCTAATCTTTCTTACAGCATATGCTGCAGAACTAAGTCTGCTTGCTAATTTAGATATATGGGGGCCCCATTGAAGTTTCGCGTCAATAGTAATACCGAGAAAAACAGTGGTATCCACAAGACTCAACTCCTCCCCATTTAAGAGCACATTGGTTTTCGAATGTTTTACATTAGGTATTGTAAATTTAATACATTTTGTCTTATTGCCGTTTAAGAGCAAATTGTTGGCGTTAAACCAATGTACTAGTTTCGATAGAGCATTATTTACATCGTCATATTTAATTGACTGCCGTTTCAGTTTGAAAATTAAAGAGGTATCGTCAGCAAATAATACTATATCGTGATTGTCCCCTACAAGATAAGGTAAGTCATTAATATAGATTAAGAACAGGAATGGGCCAAGAATCGAGCCCTGAGGAACGCCCATTGATACTACCGATCCGGAGGAACATTTACCATTAATGACGACTTTTTGAGTTCTGTTACTTAAATATGAAGTAATAAGTTTAAGCGCCAAATTTTTTACACCGTAATGTTGTAGTTTCCTGATTAATGTATCATGATGAACACAATCGAAAGCCTTGGAAAGGTCACAGAAAATACCTAAGGCATCTTGTGAATTCTCCCAGGCATTAAAAATATATTTCATAAGCTCAACACCGGCGTCAGACGTCGAGCGACCCCTTGTAAAACCAAATTGATTTTTATGAAGTAATTTATTTGTATTAAAAAAAATTAACAATTGATCCAAAATTATTTTTTCAAAAATTTTACTGAGAGTTGGTAGTACAGAAATAGGTCTATAATTAGCGGGGTCCAATGTACTACCAGATTTAAATAAAGGTATTACTTTACTATACTTCATTAAATCAGGAAACACACCAGAATCGATACAAGTATTAAAAATAATAGCAAGATGAGGTGCAATTAAATCTATTATGGACGTAATCACTGTAACGGAAATCCCCCACAAATCTGCGGTTTTCTTTACATCAATGGTTTTGAAGTATTTTACAATATTATGCGGTAATACTTTTTCAAATCTAAATTCTTTTAAACAGGTATTAACATTCTGTTTAAGTAATGATTCGGCGACAGTTGGAGAAGCATTCAATGACTCTGTTGTCAAGATAGGAACATCAGTGAAATATTTCTCAAACACCGCTGCAACTTCTTGATTTGATTTAGTCAATTCATTATTAATTTTTAATTGATAGTTTGAATTACGAGGTTTCTCATTACCGGTTTCGCTGTTAATTATACTCCACGTCATTTTAATTTTATTCTTAGCTGCCTTAATTTTGTTACTAATATGTAATGATTTGGCTGTGGAGCAAACTCTTTTAAACATTTTAGAATAATTTTTTACATATTCTTTAAAAGCATCGGAAAGATTAT